CTGCGCCTTGTAAAGTTGCAGGCGGTTTGCCGGCACGAAATACTGTCCCACTCTGCTGAGCACGCCAAGCTTTTTAGAGGCCAATTTGGCCTTCTCTTCCAAGTGACATCATCTGCATGTTAGAAAAGTTGGTGTTCATTGTTAGGAAGGTAGGTGCCTGCGACTTCGTCAGCGAGAAGTTTATTGTTCCCCGATCCATTTCCCGTCGCATCGCATTACCTGCCTGTGCTATCACTTCGTTTTCGCTTAATATTATTTCTGACGTTTTTTCTTTTTGCTTAGCTTCTAAGGGTCATAGCGTGGTGTTACATAGCTAAGGCTATAGCATTTCTCAAAAATTGGACTATATAATCAAAAATATTTCTTCAAATCTGACTGGTAGTTCCATAGGTCACCCCTTGCATATCAACAAATTTCACCTCTTTGTAATAGGTATTAGATGGTAGTTCTGTCAATGTAGCCCGTTAAATTCAAGTTATGCGTTTCGTTTTGCAAATTGAGGTAGTATGTTGATCTTAATGTGATACACGACAAAACTAAACTAATATTAAAATTATTATATTTCATTAAATAAATACCATCTGCGGGCCATTGACGGAACCACCATAAAATAAGTTCTACGGTTTAAGACTTGAAAAATGATGAACTTAAAAACAACGTAGATGAAAGGCATAAATAAGTTAGAAAGCTTGGGGGATTTTTACATACAGATATCGTACTGTGTGTCCGTGACAATATGAAAACGATCTCACAATCTTTTACCGATGTTATTATTATAAAAATATCGATATGGACTGCCCTATTAACCGCCATTTTATCCTCTCAGTAAAGTATAGGTATACACGTTTTTCTTGTAGGTATGCCAGGTCCATATGTTTTATATACGTCTATGTTTAATACGTAGCGATTGTTCTCCTTCTCTCTAACCTCCATGCTTCACACAGAGTACATTATATTCTCTTAGTAGTCTGTGATTACTTATTATTGAGTCAGCAAAGAGTGTATATAATTCGTGCCAAATCGATTGAGAAAAACGGACGATGACCTCAGATATGAGCCGAGTATCGAAAGGCATAACTTAAAAAATCTCAATTTAGATGTGATAACAATATTTAAATATTGATATTATTCACACTTCTAGGTCAACACATATGTTTTGTTTTTTGTTTCTTAAATAATATTGTCTGTAATTCTTATAAACATCGTAAAATCTTACGGTACATCGCGTAAACTGTGTTAAATTTTATATTTCAATTTATGGTAAGTAACGCAGCAATTCATTTAATAACAGTTTCATATTAAAAAAAATATTTGAAGCAATATAATCACCATATTGAGCTTTTGCAAATTCATCCCTTTAAAATAAAGTTCGTTCTAAAAGAAACGTGCCAATGGCAAAAATAAAGTTCTTATATAATATTGTTGTAAGTTTTATCTTCTGAATAAGTACGTACTTGTTCGGTGTCGTTATCTCTCGAATCTTTATATGTGTTATAAATTAATGCATTTTGTTGTTAAATGAATAAAGTACTTTATAACAATAGATGAATTTTCTTCTGCAGCGATCTTTTACATAACTTTATAATAATAGTTATTAAATATCTATTATATCAATCATTATTAAAAAAAAATTATAAATAAAGAAAGTACTTCATATAAAAAGTGCTCATATATTGAAGGTTTGTAGCCCTTGGTTAAGCGACCGAAAGGTCAATGTCCGTTTTTCTCAACCGATTTGGCACGAACTATAGTAAATATTTTGGGTCAGGCTCAGAAGGGCTAGAACCCAGAGCTGTAAAGCCAGTAAATAAAAAAAATTACATGACCAGACATGACTGATATTCGTAGACATAGTGTTGCCACTTTCGCGACTTTGTCGCTAAATCTAACGAGTTTTTTGTTAATTTAGGGAGTAAAATTCAATGTTTAGTGAGAAAAAATATTCTGTTGACTTTTAGCGACACGACAAAAATCGAACATAAATATAGTTTTATTGTTTCGCGTTTTTTAATAAAATTATATTTAGCGACATTTGGGGAGTTTTTTGTTACTAAATTCATTTATAACTAGGGACTTTTTGATGGCAGTCTAGAGCAGGAAGGTTAGATAACAGGAGAACGATCACTACGTACTAAAGCATAGCCCGCCTGTCCTGAAAATTGTAGAATACGTAGTGGCGCTGACATCGGTGAGTAGTGACCGCGAAGTTAGCTGTTTATGAGTATAATAGGTAAAGTTTGTTGAATATTGTACATTTGTACAATATTCAACTAACTTTTTTGACAAAAAGAAACATTAAAAAATGGAGAAATAGTTTATTGTGCGTGGATGTGCAAGTGGTTGAGCATCTGATCGGAAAAATAGACTGAAAATGACTTTTATTGACTGCACTTAGTGATCGTAGCGCCTCACTGATGGTGTCCATATTTCTGGGACACTATTTTCTACGGCGATTGTTCTCCTGTTCTCTAACCTTCATGGTCTAGAGACATACGCTAATTCAACGTGGCAACATTGCGTAGACAGAGATATACCAGTGATACCGAGTAAGCATGGGCGTTGTCAGTTTTTATCTGCAACGGTTACATAACCGATATCTAGTTTTCGTATCGTTATTGAAAACCGTTTTCAGATATCGATATCAACAGTAATGGCTTGCTACTTAATGTGCAAACGACAGCCGAACCATAACCGCAAACTGTACTACCAGTGCAACATGTATTTTATGAATTACATAGATTATTCTAGATTAGAAGTCAGAGGTTCTAATGTTATTGTGTATAGATGTAATATTTAAATATGTATGTTAATATATAATTTTTGTATATTCAATGTTATGCAGTAATAAATTATACCGTCACTGTTACAGCTTATTAAATTACACTACTGAACACATAGGCCTCCTTATAGATTGTATCACAGGTGGGATATTTGTCATAGTTGCCACGCTTGGCAAGCGGGTTTACAAGCAAGATTACAACGGTCTTTTGTTCAAATACTAATCTTATATTAATTTTATTTAAGACAGTTACCAAGTTACCCGTATTTATTTTAGTAAGATTGAACTAAGCGCACATCAGTAATACCGCCGTTGTATAGATAAAGATATTTTATCGAACAAACATTGATTGACTCTCAAGGTGGTATGTAGGATGGATGCTAGATGGCATAAACCTAAAAAAAATTGCTGACCATCTCCTGATTTGTTTCCTTATGTCGCCTTTTACGACACCCACGGGATGATAATCGAGTAGTGAATAAAATTACCTTCATTCTATCCTTATTTATTTCTATAATTTTTTTACCCAATTTTTCAAATTGAGACGTAGGATCAGAGTCTGATTTCAAAGTCTATAATTTAAGTGTATTCTTAAGAAGTAAACATAATTTATATACATCATTAGAAAATTATTTTAGTTAGTTTATTTATTAACAATTATTTAAGTTGGCGATTTTCTGTCATGCTTAACTAGGCTTAGAACTAGCAGAAAAGTTTTAAATTCAAATTCTCAACTTAACTTCAAAATTCAACTTTATTAACCGCAGGATTACCTGATTTGCACTAGCCGCTGATTCGGCTCCGGTGGAAGAAGTGGTCGGAATTGTCTTTTTTATCGATGTGAGACCATATTTCACTAGTCTTACGCGACATTTTGAAAGTCTATATTCAAAAATGATTAAAAGTCTAAATCTACTTAAACTAACTATGCTATATTATATTATCCTTACACATAATGTCTGAATTACACTACTAATGCACAAAATAATATTGGAAATAAATGTGAAAGTATGGGCAAATATAATATGATCATACAAATAGTCTTTTTTTTAAAAATTTTTTGAACTTAAAATGCATTTATTTTTTTTGTTAGGTTTTGATGCGTACCGTGTGAAACTAAAATTACCAAAACAGAAATCCTCTCTTTCTATATACGAATTTATGATACCGTCGCAAGAACAAGAAACAATGAATATCAATGAAAGACATCGCATCGGTTTAGTTCGTGGGCCGTGTTGGCATATCGTTCCGGTGTTTGCGTTTTACATTTCTACAAATCTAAGCCTTGTGCCTAATGAGTTAAAGATCGTTTGAAATTTGATAACTCTCACGACTACACAAACTTAAAATGTAGGCAATTTTAACTATTTAAAATTCGACCTTATTGCTTTAGCTATATATTATATTTCGCAATATGCACCGTTGTGTGATAACTACCAAAACATGCAACGATATCCATATTCGCTTCATCTCTTTCTATACTTATTTAAACTATCGTTGCAAGAACGAGAAGCGATGAATATCAACGAAGGTCATCGGTTAGTGGGCTTTTTTCAGTTTTGGGATATCGTTCCACAGTTTGCGTTATGCATTTCGGTTTCGTTTTCGTACGTTGGTTAGGTATATGGTTTTGGTTGGATATGTGATAACGGTTTTGTACTTAGGTTTATCGATATGATATGATATTTGATAACATAACGTTATTAGTTACGTTTTGATATATCGGTCTCATGCTTAATACCGAGTGATACTGATATTGATGTTTCTTTTCTTTACTCTTTTGTTGTTATTGTCATAGATAAATAAATATGTAGAAAGCTAGTTATTTGTTTCTATTAGTTTCTATATATACCTAAATTATTAATTGAACTTTTAAATAATTTTTAACAAAGAGTTGGCATTGATGTTATATATACTGCTGTAAATATCTGTTTAGAGTTAGTTATGTCCTACGACCTATAATTAATGTATTTTATTATAACCACTTCGCTTTCTACGTTCCGTGCACAATCTGTTTTAAATTTAAAATGACAAGTACCTCATAGATTTTAAATTATGTACCTGGCAGTAGGTACTAATTATTTCTACATTGCATACCTTATGTGTTTTAGTTTTAGGGGTTAGAAATTCCAGTATACCTACAATATACATTATTGTTAAAATGTTGGCTAAGTTTATTGAAAAATATTCCAATAACTCACCACACAAAGTATTTCTTAGCATGTTTGATTCTCCTGTGGGAAAAATAATAGGAGCAGCTGATGAAAATTACCTGTATGTGGTTTCATTTGAAGATTCAAAATTTTTTGAGAGAAAGTTACAAACACTTGCAGAAGCAATTAATTGCTATTATATTGAAGGAAAAAACCATGTTCTTCAAAAGTTAGAGTCTGAATTAAAACAGTATTTTGATGGTGAAATAAAGAAATTTACAGTTTCTATAAAAACTATTGGCTCAGATTTTCAAAAGGTTTGTCATGTGAGATTTGTTTTAATTTCTCAGTAATTTAAGGTTTCCTCACAATAAATAATTTATTATCAATTTAATTGGTGCCGAAACTCCGGTTTATTTATACTTTAAAATTTTGGGAAGCACATAAAGTAGTACCTATTACTTATCTTTTGGTGTATAATTCTACCACCAAAGGTATGCGTCAGTCAGTGGCTACAACTTACACAGATATTTAGAGATAAAAGATTTTTATATGAAATTAATTGCAGCATTTTGGTTAATTATCCCCTTTCATAAATTGAGCGCAATATTTAATTTGACAGTTAGTAAAATATCTCAAAAAATGTCACCCAAAAAGAGTGGCAATATCTTAGACTAGCAGGATCCCAGGTGTGAGTAGGGTTACCAACTTATCTTATAGGAAATATAGGTAGTATTTACAAAGCTGTTACATGTAAAAATATTGTAATTAAAAATAATGTATAGGTATGTTAATAAAAATATATTAGTATAGGTACTATAGTCTTTCAAATTAATTTTTGACGGCTCTATCTTGATAGGTTTCACTTACGACTACTCCTTCACAATGCACTAAATGAAAATGACAAATCTGTAGCATTCATAATTTCAGGTTCTAAATCACCTTTGATTCTTCTACCTTGATAGTAGTCTACAGTACCGCCAGGAATTTCAGGAGGTTCCCACTTAAGAAGATCTGGGTTGTTTTTTACAGTTGGTGCTTTCAACCTACTAGGTGGACCAATTCTTGTCCTCGCAAATATACCTTCATGTCTATCAATTTTGGAGCATAGACCTATTGGTACAATGCAAGCCTTAACAGTCCAAGAGTAGTTAGTAGTATTGTTGCTTAAAACTTTTATTTCAAGTAATAGTCAGCCTTTATTATGATATAGTAGTTTTGTCTACAAAATACTTTACAGTTTTTAGTTACCTACATTTAATATCCTAGTAGTTCTAATATAGTAGGAAACTATATTGTATAGTAAGGATGGCAACCCTAGGTAAGAGATAGTTAGTACTGCAATGATCTTCTTTTTTATTAGTTGTCTGTCATATAGGCCGTCAACTGTTGGACTTGGCCTCTGCTGTTGTAGGGAGGATTTGCCTTATCGTCATGCAATAGATTATTGCGGTACTAGATGGCTCAAACCTGTGATGCTGCCATTGCTGGTGTATGTATTTTATGTCTGACGTGAACGAGGTGGTCATTGCCATCTGTTCTCAGAAATGAAAGTAAAAAGTAAAAAGGCCGAATAAATGTTATATTTTAAATATATTATATAAGATATATAATATGCCGTAAGAGCTGTAATAATAATGATGTTGATAAGCCCTGTATGTTCACAGATGAAACTGCAAAAAATTATAAATATTTTAACAGTGTTGTGTGATAATTTGTTTATTTTTTTATAATAGGAAGTGTGGAATAAATTACTGGAGATTCCTTATGGATCCACTCATACTTATGGAGATTTAGCAAAAGCTTTAGGAAGACCAGCAAGTCACGCAAGAGCCATAGGGGCTGCATGTGGTGCTAATGCTCATTTACTTGTTATACCATGTCATAGACTAGTTGCTACAGGCTCTAAAGGAGGATTCAGCAGTGGTGTGGATAGAAAAGAATGGCTTATACACCATGAAAAGAAATTTGGATCAGTGTAACTAAGATAAGATTTATACCAAAATCTATAAGACTCATTATGTATGCTATGCTCTAAGTACCCATATGCGACAAATTTAAATTTAAACAACATTATTATAAAAGTTAAAGAAAATAACATCCATTATTAGGTTTTGATTTAATAAAGGTCATAGGTACATTGGTTCCATTTTTTGGATAAAAAAAACTTAGAGAAATGCTCTATTAAATTAGAATTATAATTATGAAAGATTTTTTGGCTCAATTGCTAACTGTTATAATGTATATGTTATATTTTAATATAAAATCCCGGTCCAGATTAAGAGGAAGGCAAGAAGAACCCTTACAATAAAATAAATATAATTTTTTGGGTAAAATTGATTAACAAATAGGGTTTTTAATTTTTATCAAAATTAGTAACCATGATTCAATATTTTGACAACACAATTTAGTTAAATGTTTAGAACCATTTCATTATAAGTATAAAAATATTATACAGTTCATATTGAAATAAGTCAATAAATCTTTTTTCAAAAAAAGTATTTAGTCTTATTTGAAAAATAATTTGAGGCATACGCTTTTTATTTCTATAGTCTCAACATTTAAATCCGGTTTTAGATATATATAATTTTCAGTATGGGTATGGGTATGGTGTATCGCGGTGGTGGCGGGGAAGGGGTTGTGAGGCGGGAGTACACTCGGGAGTCGGGGAGGCATCAGTGTCAACTGTCAAAGAGGTGCCACGAGGCCGTACTGATAACTTCCCGATGTTTCGGGTGCTTCGTAGCAGACATAGCTAGTTGGCATTTAGTTTGACGTAATGATAGCATAGGTAATACGAATTAATTTATATAATAGCATATTAATTATAAAGTAATGACTCTCGAAAACAGCACGCAGACGTGGCTCAGAAGGGAAGTCGGTCTGTAGTTCTTCAAGAGAGTGTTGACGCCTTTATTGAAGAACAAGACCACCGTACTTCTGCTCCAATCCTCCGGAGTAGTGCCACCATGGAGGACGGAATTGAAGAGCTTCTGTAGGACTTTAAGTATCGGTTTTGAACCCGCTTTCAGCAGCTCCGCTGTAATTCCATCCTCGCCCGGGGACTTGTCGTTTTTAAGGTCTTGGAGAGCCATTCTAATCTCGCTTAGACTGACGTCCGGGATATCAGCGGAATAGTGTCGGATAAGACTTACTCTTTGCATCGTTACTCACACTTGCGTGTGGTTCCAACGATGACGTATACAGTTGCCCATAGAACCTCTCAATCTCACTCAGAATCTCAGGTGTCCCGGAAACGATGCTGCCACATTCGGTCTTCAGCTTCGACAGTTGGCTTTTTCTGACAGATAGATCTCTGGCAAAACTTTGCAGCCCTGGTTCTGCTCAATCGCTTCTTCAATACGAACCTTATTAAAGTTGCGTAAGTCCTGCCGCATGCATTTGGAGATCTGTCTGTTCAGTTGCCTTTATGCTGTTAAATCTGTTGACGACTGCAGCTTCATCTCCCGTCTAACAGCCATGAGATTAAGAGTGTGATCGGAGAGTTTTTGTGTTCTTCTGCGACGGTTCTTTTACAGAACTTAGCTCCGACCGCATGGACCGTTTTCCACAAGCTTGTCATTTATATCGTCAAAATCGTTTTCAGTGACAGTTTTCTATCACTGAAAACGATTTTGTAACTCTAGCTGAAAGTTTTCGGGGCTTTGGACTAGAGCACGAGGGGGATGGAGCGTTGATTTCATTAGACGTGACCTCTCCAACTTCACATTTAGGTTCAGTGTGCCTCTCACCATTCGGTGATAGCTGCCAGTTTTCACCCTTGCGTTCACTGAGACATCAGCGAACAGTTGTCGTCTGGTCGTCATAATGAAGTCAATCTCATTTTTGTCGAATCGTCGGGGCTCGACCAGGTCCACTTTCTGTGAGGCCGCTTTTGGAAGAAAGAGTTCATTATAAAGAGTCCCTCTTTCTCCATAAAGTCGGCCAGCTGCTGGCCCCTGAGTTTCGTTGCCCTATTCCAAATTCCCCTACTTTCAGCTCACCGTTCTCTCTTGTGCCTAGTTTTGCGTTGAAGTCTTCCATTAACACCGTATAGTGGGTTTTAGAGGAATGTATGTCTCTAGAATTATCCTCATACGTTTCCTCTACCTCCTCAACGGAATATGCCGAGGTTGGTACGTAAACCTGTATGACCATCAGCGAATACCGTTTGGTGATTCTAAGTATAAGGTGACTTGTGGACGATAAAACCGACACCTTCTGGGGACAGATGGTCCCGGTGATAAAAAAGTTGCTGGATTCAAAGATTATCGTGTCCTCCCCCTCTCTTCGGACCTCATATAATCCTATAATACCCCAGCGCAACTTGTCTTTCGCTTCTTCCAGCTCCAGGATCTTTTCATCAGTCCTCAGGGTACGTGCGTGCGCGGAGCCGAACCTCCACCGGAGATTCTTAGCACCCCCCTGCCTCGCCGTTACTATGGTCGCCACCGTAGCCAGGAATAGCGGGGCCGCCGAGAACTGGGGGCCGTTTTTCTGTGTCGTCTCTCGTAGTGGGTATATTGCCATAGATGCCACGCTTGGCGAGCGGGTTGGCAACCGCAGTTTTTTATTGATTTTTGCTGTTATCAGAATGATGCTGCTGCCCATCTTCTTAGTTTCCCTCTGTCGCCTCTTACGACACCCACGGGAAGATATGGGGTAGTGGGTATTCTTACCCACCACTACACGTGTATCGTTTTAGGGATCGGGTGGACGAAATCTAAGACTGAAAGGACGACACTGAGTGAGATTGTTAGTAGGAGCAAAGTTATTGTATCCATCCAAAGGAGGTACCTATACAATGAATAGATGATAGCCAGCATTCAGTAAGCACAATGCAGTCCCAGTATGCTCTTGTTCGAACAAGAATCGGTAGTAATCCAGAAAAAATTACATTTTAAACTGCGGATGTTTTGTTGAAAAACTTTAAAGATTTTTGTTCGAATAAGGTAAAAAAGACACGTATTTATTCAGCATCACATATATTGGAATCTGCTATGTTATAAGAGTCGATTTCATTTTAAATTGTAATTAATTCACTTCAAATCGCGTTACTATACACGAACACTGCAGCATTTGTGTTTGTGTTCATTGCATTTACGCATGCGGCATGCCATCAAATTGTATAAGTGTCGATACGACGGTGCCGCTGTCACAGAATAAATAATAGTACTACGTACAGAAGTTGCACTCCTTTGATGTTGACTGCTTGCCGATGTTTAATAGCCTACATAATTATTATTAATCAGATAAATCGCGCAAGCAAGCCAAATAAAACTTTATCGCTGCGCGTTGGTGTCCATATTACTTTTCATCTTTTCCGCTTCCTAAGTCACTGCGGACTTTCCATGGTTATTAAGGAATGTCAATAGAAAGTAAAAAAAATACATTGCGAAATGTTAATTGTTACTTAGGTGAAGTACCTATTCTGACTATGATCGACTGACCATACTTTCGTCCCTATGGGAGTTCTGCGATGCCTAATGCATGCAAATTGCAAGATCATTCGTTGGGAATCGCAACGCTTGGTTCGGAAGACATAGGTAGATAGTGTAAACAACAAATAAAACTGAAATACTATTCCTAACAAAAATGTGATCTATTCTACTTAGTTTATCTTGTTAGTATACAAAGTTTTAATTTCAGTATTTTGTGTTACTATAACTTAAAATATTTTAATTACAAAAGACAAGTATACGTATGTAAGTAAATACTTGGATAGTGAAGTAAATTTTAACTAATTTTTGTGATAAAGTACTTAGGTATTTCTTTTGTAGACCAAATTATTACTTAATTATTTTTTGCTGTAAGTACATATCCAACAAAAAAATTAAATAAGTTCACCTTTTTATAACTTCCTTCTAAAATTCTTCGGTAACTTAAATAACGATGAATTCTTTTGTTGGACATTTCATTTAGTATCCATCCACGCAACAGTTATAGTAGGAACGACGTTTTGCTATTATAATTTACCAAATAATAATTTTTAAAATACATTAAAACTTTTACAACTATTTTTACCTACAATTGAATATACTAAACACTAAACAAAAACTATTTCAACAAGTATTTATATAAAACTATTTACGTAAACAGCGTTAAAAACTTTAACATTCAATCGCCTCCAACGAGCTAGCCCTGACCCCTGACTGCGTTATTTCGCCCGGGCGCGTCTCGATTTTAGGTAATTATTTCACGCAGGTAGCAAGAATGACAGAGGCCTGCCGCTGTCTATATGCGTAAACAACGTAGGGCGTGGACTATGTCGATATTTGTATCGATAAACAAATCATCATATGGACTATGATAGTCCACAAAGTTCAGCGTTAGTAAAAGTTTTTTTTTTAGTTTTGTTTTTCATTTATTACAGCCCTCCCTTATTATAGGCCTCCCCCAAAGAATGTCACAAAGCACGGTTTTTTATAGCATTGGGTGACAAACGAGCACACAGTCTACCTGATGGTAAGTGAATGCGGTGGCTCATAGACATCCACAATTATCCTTAACTAAGGATCAAAATGAAAATGCGTGGACACCCCTGAGGAATAAGATGGAATGCCTCGATTCCAATAAAAAGGGTTTCTGGTTCTCTACACTCTCCATACGAAACACAGCAGCATTATGCTACTATTTTCCGCTGGTATTTTGTGAGACAATCCTGAGCCACCTGCATCTATCGATTTCCTGCATGTATTACTAGGTCGTCACTCCATCTATTAGGGGGCGCCCTATACTTCTCCCACAGGTACGAAACTGCCACCAGAGAACCTTTTTTACGAAATTATGAATTTGATAATGCATCATTTTGCAATATGGTCCCATGGGTGGTTTTAGGGCAGCCCGGGCAGCTACTGATAATTTCTTGACAGAAAAACTCAATAATGGATTTTTTGGCCCGACTCGGGATTCGAACCCAGGACCTCATGATTAGCAGTCGCACTACTACAACCACTAGACTAACGAGGCAGTCCGAGAGTGA